GTGACTGAAGGGATGTTATAAATCCTGCCGGGGTCCATGTAGGAAGCAAAGGTACTGTAAGTCCCCATGGACCCTAGCATGGTGATCTACCTTCAGTTGCTGGCGATCTCTAGCCCATTTTTATATTGTGTTCTCTGATACTTATTACTTTTATATATTCTCAACTAGTTTTAAACAGATTCTGTGATATTCTAGTTATTGTACTGTCCTTCGTTGACAGCTTTGTATATTGTATACATTTATGTATTATTAATGTACTTCTCGTCACGATATGGCTGAAATATTGCCGATGTGACGTTAAATATTAACTCACTCACTCACTCATTACTGATAATGGACACGCCCCCTCACAGTACAATACAAGGGAGGTAACTGTGAACGTTAGTATTCAGGACCAAGTCAACATGTCTTTATTGTGTCATTTTTACACCTCGACGAATGACTTTGTTTACCTGAATGTCAAACATTTGTAAAACCCATAACAATAAAAGAAATTTAAATCAATATACTTTACATTTTTTTTATTTTCTTGGGGCCAACAATTCCTACTTTCGGTTTCTCTTCCTTTAATGTTTCGTGTGTTTTTAAGTTTAAATTTAAGAAACACAAACCTTATATACGTTTGATGCTGTCGATGTCCCGAATAAACAGGTATACTAGTTCTTCATGTGAACTGTATGAGATTAAATTGTACGTCCTGGATGCCTTGAAATAACCAAATCCCGCCTCGGTACACACCTGTGCCTACCTGTCCCTTCCCTTCCGCATGACATACAAGGGAGGTAACTGCGAAATCTCGACTAGTGGTGATTCAAAAGCGATCAAATCTGATGACGACGTAGGTTCCTGGATCGAATTTAAGGATGATTCTTATAACGTCGAAAGAGATTGCACATTTCAATGTTCACACACAGTACACATTGTAAACAGTATTTATGTAATATCCTAAGATGTTTTACACATTCGTATTTGTACAGTCAATTATGTTCGAACATGTATACATGTAATGTCGTTTATAGCAGTACAAGAAGTAAAAAGTTGGACAAGCAGCTATATGGCAGGTGTGGCGATCGAGCTGTCATAGATGTTACAAATAAGAAATATACCACAGAAACAATAACTTTCTTGAAACGTAAATAACAATCTGACCAGTATTTCAAAGCAATCCGAACGGGCAAATCAACACACCGTCATGTAAACATCTTAAGCCCGAGAAACATGTAGCTGTTACACCAGTCTTACACCAGCAGGATTCCTGTGGCCTCCGTGTGTTACAAAAAATAAATTAAAAAAGTCATGTATACTGTTGTGGTCAGAAGCATCAGATCACTGATCGAAGTCACGGAGTGTAATGTTAGTATCAGATATGTTTACTGCATGCAGAATAATCTCTTGTTTCGTTTTACTTGAACACAAAACCCGCATATGTAGCACGTGCGATACCCTACAGGTAATCTTATACTTGTTTCCCTCAGTTCGTATGATTACTGATGTTTAGCCTCTGATTATAGCATGATATCATTTACTGATTTCAATACACGAGATTTAACATATGCATTTACGTGTTTTACTATTTCTTGATGATTTATTGATGTAATGATACATGGCCCTGATCTGTGCGATGAAGGAATATCCCTATTTACTTCTACAGGACGGTGTTCCTTTCCATATATCTATTGAGATAGTGTCATCTCCATAAGTAGGTATATGCTGGCTGAATGAGTATTTATCTCACGATAGACTGCGTTTACAAATACAAATTTACACTTGAGTCTGTGAGTGAAGAATGTAACCCTATGGGGACGTTACTATTGACATCTCATTGAGTTGCATTGTCATGCTGAAGGGTCACCCTTCGATGGACAGCTGTGCTTTAAAACGTGTTGATAAATATAACAATGGATTCATGCTGTATGTGTTGAATACTGATATCCTACTTCAATATCTCCTATGACCCTACAGAAAAACTACTGAACGCTCATTTATATATGTGTGAGACTGGAAGAAACATGAAACGAAACAGCTGAGAAGCTACCTTAAATTAAGTGTTTGTTTTAGTTGGCAACATGAATTCTTCACTCCAAATAAGGATTGTAAAAGCATTCAAACATTTGTCTTAATTATCCCTGCATTCGCTGCATTCAGCAATATTCCAACTATATGACCGTGGCCTGTAAACAATCGAGTCTGTACCAGACAATCCAGTTATTGACATAATGAGCATCGACCCACGTCATTGGGATACGATGATATGCATCAAGCAACTAGCCTGACCACCCGATCCCTCGACAGTAACTGCACAAAATGTCCAATACCCTCGTGAGAATAAGAATGAGATCCAACTTTCAGATGAATATGTTACCATGAGATCCCACATTTAGATCAATAGGTAACCATGCGATGACACATCTAGATGAATATGTAGGCATGAGATCCCACCTTTAGATAAACACGTCAGCATGAGATCCCATTTTTAGATGAACTTGTAAGCATGAAATCCCAACTTTAGATGAACATGTAGGCATGAGATCCCACTTTTAGATGAACATGTAAACATGAGATCCCACTTTTAGATGAACATGTAAACATGAGATCCCACTTTTAGATGAACATGTGAACATGAGATCCCACTTTTAGATGAACATGTAGGCATGAGATCCCACTTTTAGATGAACATGTACACATGAGATCCCACTTTTAGAGGAACATGTGAACATGAGATCCCACTTTTAGATGAACATGTAGGCATGAGATCCCCCTTTTAGATGAACATGTTAACATGAGCTCCCACTTTTAGATGAACATGTAGGCATGAGATGAACATGTAAACATGAGATGGACTTGTAAGCATGAGATCCCACTTTTAGATGAACATGTGAACATGAGGTTCCACTTTTAGATGAACATGTAGGCATCAGATCCCACTTTTAGATGAACATGTTATATGAGGTTCCACTTTTAGATGAACATGTGAACATGAGATCCCACTTTTAGATGAACATGTTAACATGAGGTTCCACTTTTAGATGAACATGTGAACATGAGATCCCACTTTTAGATGAACTTGTAGGCATGAGATGAACATGTAAACATGAGATGGACTTGTAAGCATGAGATCCCACTTTTAGATGAACATGTGAACATGAGGTTCCACTTTTAGATGAACATGTAGGCATGAGGTTCCACTTTTAGATGAAAATGTGAACATGAGATCCCACTTTTAGATGCACATGTTATATGAGGTTCCACTTTTAGATGAACATGTGAACATGAGATCCCACTTTTAGATGAACATGTGAACATGAGATCCCATTTTTAGATGAACATGTGAACATGAGGTTCCACTTTTAGATGAACATGTAGGCATGAGATCCCACTTTTAGATGAACATGTGAACATGAGATCCCACTTTTAGATGAACATGTTAACATGAGATCCCACTTTTAGATGAACATGTTAACATGAGGTTCCACTTTTAGATGAACATGTGAACATGAGGTTCCACTTTTAGATGAACATGTAGGCATGAGATCCCACTTTTAGATGAACATGTGAACATGAGATCCCACTTTTAGATGAACATGTTAACATGAGGTTCCACTTTTAGATGAACATGTGAACATGAGATCCCACTTTTAGATGAACATGTAAACTTGAGATCCCACTGTTAGATGAACATGTTAACATGAGGTTCCACTTTTAGATGAACTTGTAAGCATGAGCTCCCACTTTTAGATGAACATGTAGGCATGAGATCCCACTTTTAGATGAACATGTAAACATGAGATCCCACTTTTAGAGGAACATGTGAACATGAGATCCCACTTTTAGATGAACATGTAGGCATGAGATCCCCCTTTTAGATGAACATGTTAACATGAGCTCCCACTTTTAGATGAACATGTAGGCATGAGATGAACATGTAAACATGAGATGGACTTGTAAGCATGAGATCCCACTTTTAGATGAACATGTGAACATGAGGTTCCACTTTTAGATGAACATGTAGGCATGAGATCCCACTTTTAGATGAACATGTTATATGAGGTTCCACTTTTAGATGAACATGTGAACATGAGATCCCACTTTTAGATGAACATGTTAACATGAGGTTCCACTTTTAGATGAACATGTGAACATGAGATCCCACTTTTAGATGAACTTGTAAGCATGAGATGAACATGTAAACATGAGATGGACTTGTAAGCATGAGATCCCACTTTTAGATGAACATGTGAACATGAGGTTCCACTTTTAGATGAACATGTGAACATGAGATCCCATTTTTAGATGAACATGTAAACATGAGATCCCACTTTTAGATGAACATGTAGGCATGAGATCCCACTTTTAGATGAACATGTGAACATGAGATCCCACTTTTAGATGAACATGTTAACATGAGGTTCCACTTTTAGATGAACATGTGAACATGAGGTTCCACTTTTAGATGAACATGTAGGCATGAGATCCCACTTTTAGATGAACATGTTATATGAGATCCCACTTTTAGATGAACATGTGAACATGAGATCCCACTTTTAGATGAACATGTTAACATGAGGTTCCACTTTTAGATGAACATGTGAACATGAGATCCCACTTTTAGGTGAACATGTAAACATGAGATCCCACTTTTAGATGAACATGTTAACATGAGGTTCCACTTTTAGATGAACTTGTAAGCATGAGCTCCCACTTTTAGATGAACATGTAGGCATGGGATCCCACCTTTAGATGAACATGTAGGCATGAGATCCCACTTTTAGATGAACATGTCAACATGAGATCCCACTTTTAAATGAACATGTAAAAATGAGATCCCACTTTTAGGTGAATATGCAAGCATGAGATTTCACCTTTTGATGAACATGTAAACACGGTTTGAAATTAATAACAATCGCAACTAAAATCTGAAGCATATCTATTTTCAAACAACTCAGAAAATGAATGTCTGCCCACATTTAGCTGATCACTCGCACTCCTCGTGGGATAAAGTTTGCAACTGTAAGTAAAAGGCAAGTACTAAACATCTATCACGTCAGATATAATATATTTGTTAATGGATGCAGGCGGGTTTTGTGTTTTAAAATACAGATTCAAGTAAACTCCATAAGTTACTTTTTATCCTAGTAAAACCTGCTCTACAAGTCTTCCTGTTTCGCCTGCGCCTTTCTCAATCGTTGTTTTGTGGCTGTGTACAGGTCGTGAGACGTGATGTTCTCAGCCCTGTCATAGAACTGGCGGAACACCTGCGCGTTCATATGGTAGAATGCCAACTTATGCTTTCGGCGATGGTCGGGGACGATTTGGCCGTTTTCGTCAAATTTCTGTGCAGGTAAAGGACATCCAGAATGGTTCAGATTTGCCTGTGCTTTCGCGACAGGCTTCCTGGCTTTAGTTGCATCAAGCGCCTTGTGAAGTTTGTCACAGAGGAAACACTCATATCCTAAAGCAGCCTTCCCAAAACTGCCACCTGCATACTCCCCTGGTGATATCCGGGCGAGTTCTGACTTCAGCGTTGGATTTGAAATACCCGTGTGTTTGAATTGGAGGTATGACTCATACTGTTCGTCGTTCCGATCAAGCTGCTTGATGAACGCAGCCAAGTCTTGAATAGTGTCAAAGTCTTCGACCAGAATCGCTGATTTGGTGGATGGTAAAATGTCCTGAAAGTACGATTTAAGTAGAGCTGATTTTAAATTGCATTTATTTGAATAGAACAAACTACAATCAGAAAAAAAGATGTATAATAATTACTACTCTTTCCGAGGCTGAGATTCTAGTCGACTACATGTTTGTTCAATTCATGACAAATTTATTTCCAAAGTCCTTTCACGCCGTTAATGCCACAGTACACATTTATAGCATGACCATAAAACAGAAATGATTTTTTTGGCACTTTAATATTCATTCTTTATTCGTTAGTTTATCTTTCTTCTTTAATTTTTCTCATTCGGTTCTTCAGATAATAGAAACAGATCACAATGGGGGTTCACAGTTTCAAATCATATATTAAGTTACTGTATTATTGTGTCTGGATGTGTCCTCGAAGGTTACATGAATATTTAGGCGTATATGCGTCAAACGTAGAACCCGTGATTCTTAAATTGTGGTTGAAAAATAATCATGATGATAACAATGGATCAGCGACAATCTTTCTTCGCTGTCGAACCCTCCACCTGTACATGGATGACCAGCTACTCCGTTAGTCTTGTCTAACGCTAAGTTGAATAGCTTACTGCAAAACGTTTTCATTCATCCGTTACACGAGACGATAACTTTAAGACCAAAGCTTACCCCCTGTCCTATCGTAGTCGTTTACTGTATCGAAATTGTTTAGAAAATGTAATTATGATTATGCCCTTAAATCTACGACTTACGACTTTGTGTGTCTTGGGTACAGCCTAAGAAAATATATAATTACTTATGTACCCTCACGAAAATGCCACCACACAAACAAGACATCTCGCCCATCTTTTTGTCTGGTTGTTCAAGTAAAAGAACATATGCTCTCATTGAAATGTTTCCACACACAAAAGTCATCTCACCCTGATTGTCGACGAGCCGAGCACAATAGGGACAGTTCCCACCTGTAGAGGGCGCCACAACTTCTCTGTGATGTAGTCGTCACAGATGGCGTTCTCAAAAGCTATAGCAAACTTGTAGCGGGCGACAAGTCTCAAAAAGTCTGGCTTCAAGAAGCCTGCTATACCGTCGAGATTCTTGAATCTATATGCAACAGAAAAAGAATGGTTACAGTTTAATAGTTGCAAAGTGCTTTGCTCTTCATTCCACACTGCATGTATCTTTCTAACAAAATAGATAGACTTGCCCAGTCTACATTTTGATAACAGTGGGTACATGTAGGTCGGAAATGTGGTAAAAGATTATGAGCTGTACTGACCATGCTATATATTATGATAACAAATTAACATTGTGTTGAAATGATAATGAGCCCAGTTACATATATGACATGGCCTAAACGGTGGGTTCCATTTGCCTCCAAAATATCATAACACATATGACTAAGTGAAAACAGGCTCGGGATACATAATATGTGTGTGTGTGTGTGTGTGTCTGTGTCTGTGTCTGTGTGTCTGTGTCTGTGTGTGTCTGCTTGTACCAGTACGCACTAATGCCGATTTATAGTGCTTTCCCACTAAACCATGCCGCAGTTTACACCACTCAGACACATTAACCCGACTCCGAGGCGACAAGTCCTTGTGTTAGACCTCCAATGCCGAGCGCTAGACAGGGTAACAACACGTACCATCTTTTAACGTCTTTTGGTATGACGCGGCCGGGTATCAAACCAACGACCTTCGGCTCTCCGGGCGGACCCTCTACCACTAGACCACGGAGGAGGTCGTCTTCAGAGGAAGTACACATTGTGACGTGAACACATGTAAAGGCATGTAAGTAATATTCATTATCGACGGAATGGCATGTTTTCACGTTATAGCTATTAGCACATATGCAGCTACTTTCTATACTTAATCATCGCGATATTTCATTGTTGTATTTCAAGTGTCAAGGATTATACTTCACATGCTTGCGTGCGAAGAAGAGAAGGGACCACAAGGATCGGCTGTTGTTCGCACCGCCTGTAGAGCTGTTGGCGGTATATTACGCCAGCCTCAAACACACTTGGCCAT